CGGCAGCCGCAGGGCAAGGGTGAAATAGGTGCTTCGGACGATGTTGCACGTCAGGAGCAAGTGTTGCCGGATGGTTTCTTGACAAGAACTATGAATAGAGGGAAAGTGATTGGATGGGCACCTCAAGTGGCGGTGCTATCTCATAGGTCGATTGGAGGATTCATAACGCACTGTGGTTGGAATTCAATACTGGAAAGCTTGTGGTTTGGAGTTCCGATAGCAACATGGCCTATGTATGCAGAGCAGCAAGTAAATGCTTTCGAGATGGTGGTTGATTTAGAGATAGCCGTAGATATAAAGATGGAGTATCGAAGTGAGAGTCCGGTTTTGGTCACAGCAGAGGAGATAGAGAATGCCATAAGGAGACTGATGTTGGATAGTACAGAGGAGAAGGATGGTATCAGAAAGAAAATGGAAGAACTGAAAGACAAAAGCAGGAAGGCCTTGTTAGAAGGTGGATCATCTTACTGTTTTCTGGAGAGTTTGATCAATGAGTTTAAGGACCATTCGTCCAATTGAAGGTCTTAATTGCTTTCTTTTATGAATGTCGAGTACGTAAAGCTATGACACATGAGCCTAACTAAACCTCAAAAGCTAGCTCATGAGGGGAGGATAAGATATTAAGGAGTTAGTCCCTTCGATTATAAAGTTATAATCTAAAATTGCTCTTCTTTTTAGTAGATATTTAAGCGAAATTTTATAATGCTTCATAAGTTCGTTGGTTTCAGGATCTTAATTATTAAGTGCACATTTTTATGTTTAAACCACTTAATGGATCTAAATTCGCAAAGTTATGTTCATTCAGTGTTACTGTGTTATCATCCACCATTATCACCTATCATCGTTACTGCCCACTATTATCAACTACCGTCATTGGTGCCTACCTTTATCAACTACGTGCCACCCATCCCCACCCCCATGGTCCCACTTACCAATAACAACCACCACCCTCAGTTACGATCACCAGTACTATCAGTTATTATAATTAATTAGTGAACATATTTGTGCTTTGTGCGTCATTATATAAAATGTTTAGTTAAAAAATACATAGCAAGGATAGAACTTTTAAAAGTTCATGTATATAAATATAAAATAGATTTTTTTAAAATCAAATATAAACACTTACACTATAATTTCCTCCTCACTAAAACATTAAAGCCAAATGCCCCCTCAGCGTATATCCGGATTTCCAACTACACACTTAAATTTCACAAGAGTCCTATCACCCCCTGACTATTTAAAACTGAAATATTTACCTCCATGAATGCTTAGCTGGCATAATGAGTGTATTTCACTCTCTTTGAGAGAGTGAGCATCCAAATCTATTATTAAAACTTTATTTTTAATATCTTTTTTCAATAAATATATGCATTTTTAATTATTTGTTTTTCTTATTTGTTTTCTTTCTTCTCCAACAACATAAACAAATCTCTCAATCTTTCGCCACCTCTAAGTCTTGCTGCCAATCTTCACCGGATTCACTATTGTTGATTCCAAACAAATTTTCAAACTCATAAAACTCTTGCAAAATCAATCAACCTAAAATACATAAATTCACAACTTAAGATATTATAATCCTCTCTCAGATACATCCTTATTTTCTCTCAGATACATCTATTCCCTCTTTTTACATATATTTATATCACCCCAAGATACTTTGGATTCGATTTGAGAAAAATCAATATAGGTTTACTTCAAATCCAATTGAACCCACCGATTTTTTATTTTTTTTACTAATAGATCCTTTAATTATCAATCTCAAGTCTCAATCAATCAACTATATCTCAAAAATTGTCGCTATTAATCTCGTTAATTCATCAACCGTCATAGAATCAGTCTCTTCCTCTTCGAAATTGTCGTCGCAATCGATGATGACGTGGAAGACATCGTAGGCTCCTCCTCCTCATCTTCCTTGAGAGGATTACTTATCTTTGGTGACCACCATTAATGACAATATTTTGCCATGTTCGTCTTCTCTCCCGCCTTCACTTTTTTTTAAATTTGATTTTTAGGTTTCAAATGAGCAAAACCCGAATATCTCTGGATAAGCTCTAAAATCATTATTCACCTTTCTTCCTTAAAGACCCAATTTCATGGACTTGTGGTGTGCTCTTCTAGTAATGGTGAAAGTACTTTGGGTGTTTGACAGGATGGGTAAGAATATAGAAAAAAGGGTAAATAAATATAAAAATTAAAAACAAATATTGATGAGGTGTCAAACGCGTGAAACTCACATGCCACCATAGATCTGGTTATGTCCTTTTAAGGGTATAATTAATTCATCTTTAAACAGTTCAGGGGGTGATAGAACACCTGTGAAGTTTAAGTGTGTAGTTGAAAATTTAGATATACATTGATGAGGCATTTGGCCATTTTCTCTTCTTTAAACACTGGAAATTGCAGAAGATAAATCTCAAATGATACATAATTTTTCACATCATTTCCTAATACAAATAGATGCGTCAGATGGAAAAACTTACCTTTAAATACTTGTTATCTATCTCTTCATATAATTTATCCATTTGGTTTTATACTGCTTCTCTAACCAGACTAATTTTAAACGTGTCGAAGCAGTAGACAAGTATGCAGCCAAAGTTCCCAAGCATAACCCTCAGAGGGGTAACGATACTATCACTAGGAGTATCACAAATCTATACCAAAATCATCCCTCAGAATCATCGATGAGAAAAAACTCACCAGAAAAGTATGCCAATTTATTAACTGAACTATACAATGTTCACCTTTTGCAACCAGAAAAACAAGAGAAATAATACCTCTTTCGAGGTCTTGTTAAGATACTCAAGAAAAAGTTTTTCAAACAGATCTGAAATTTGACTTCTGACCATATATGCTAAAAATAACCCAGTTCTTATTTTCTCATGGCTTATTCTCAAATTATGCATGTACTCAAAGTCAGTAGTATTTAACTCTTCAACTACAGGAGATAACCAAAAAGAGAATTTTCATCACCTACAAAATCTCTTCGATGAAGCAATATATCTTGCCATTACGAACTATCCCAGTAGTTGTCCACAATCCACCCTTCCTCTCCACAACCTCATCCATTCCTAATGGATCAAGCCATCGTGATCTTGAGATATCTTTCCTGAAGAAAAAGATTACCGCCTATTCACATTCCTATATGTTTTTCAAAATTATTTTTAATAATATATCTATATCATGAGATGGAACCTGAATTGCAACTTGGGTATATCAGTGGATGCATATGCACAACAATGGTTATCATCATCAGGATCCTCTCCGTAGCCTTCAGAATCACTAGTTCCTTTTGAAAAACTTGCCCACTTATCAGCTTCCATAGCTGGAATAAATAGCAAATTTCCATAAAAGTTAAAAATTTAGCACAGATTACAACCATCTTAGCAAGTAGAGACACTAACACTTGATTAATAAAGGAGAAGCTAATTGTAAGTTCAATTCATTACAATATGAAAAACTCCACTAATCTCATGAGTTACCAAGTAAAAATTGTACCCAAAATGTGGTGTAGCTCATGATTGAGCATATTCTCTAAACAATTAAAAAAGTTGTTGTATTTACTTTAACAATAGATTGCGAAATTTGAAATGAAATATACTTTAAATTTCTTTTAATCAAAATAAAGAGCAGATAAGAATATGAAACAAAAACTAAACTAAACTAATCATAAGGAGAATGAGACCTTATAAACTAAACTAAACTAAACTAAACTAACAAGAATAATCAGAGAACAACAGATTATAAATTTAACCAACAATTTAATATAAAGACTAACAATGTAACATGAAAAAAAAAACAATATAAACTTCAAACACAGAAATTTCATGCTTGGTTTCTTTATTCGTACTTTTCTTTGAAATTTTGACTGATGAAATAACAAAAAATCGAATGCCTCAATATGTTTTCGGAATCTCATTTGTCTATATTGCCGCTGTTATTCCTAAAGCATTTCAAATTAAAACATAAAAATAATCTTAGAAAAATCCAAACGAACAATATAAAAGAAATATTTGATAGTTAAAGAGAGCTTATAGCATTCTTAATGGTTCTATTGATGGGAATTTGCAGCTACACTGCCTATTCCACTTGTTGCACATAGTATTTATTTTCCTATCCGTTTCTTCATCCCTTTGTATTTCCCAAATACTATTCAGCTCTACAAAGAGAGACAAAAAAGTTACCTTTTTGTGGCATTGATTCGACAGAAGTTGGAGATGGCTAGCAGTAGAAAGAGTAGTAGTGACTAGTGAGAGGATAGAGCAAAACAAGATTTCTTCAAAAGTGAGGCTTGCACTTTGTATTTCTGGTTCTAATAAACACGTCATACTGTGCCTCAGCCCAAAGGAAGACATTACTATCAAAGAAGTTACTACTTTCTTTGATATGATAAAATTGGAAATAAAAAATAAGAAGAAACAATCTGCTGGGATAGTGAGAACTGAGAAGGTTATCTAATTCTGTCATTTCTTAGATATCATTTCGGGTGTGTTTGGTACGAAGAAATATGTGATTTTCCTACTTATTGCAATAGGATCTAGGCATTAGGGGATTAATTTGTGCATAAAGATAGACATAACCTATTCATCGTGCTTAGCCAACTATTGCATGAAATCGTCAATGCATTCTTTTTGTTTCTCATCTAGAGATATACAGGGCTTAGAATAAACTGAGTAGGCGAGTAGAAATTGAAAATTTCCGGTGAGTATCGCTATTCTTGCAGGTTAATAACCCGGATAAATTAATTAGTCAAAGTAACTGAAGAATCCAACTGGATTGGTAGATTCTCCAAGACACTAGAATATTTTCTCCAAATTCGTGCTCAAATCGGCTACATTGGAAATAACTAACACTTCTGTTTTTTTTATGACCGTGGTGTCCCAACCAACTTTCTTGCACCTCGATTAAATTCACAAGATACGTGTCACCTCCCACCAGCAATAGGTACCACGTAACTCTGTCCATCAAGGTGATATAGATGAGAAGAATCACCTAGTGTTTTTTTTATCTCCGAACCTGAGACCTCATAGTTCTCAACCACTTCATTGACCACTAGGTCACACCCTTGGGTGCAAATAACTAACACGTTTGAGCACGACTAATTGAGCACTATAGCTTTATTGGCGACTAATTCATTTTAATTTCGAAATCTATTGTTAAAGTAAATACATCAACTTTTTTAATTGTTTAGAGAATATGCTCAATCATGAGCTACACCACATTTTGGGTACAATTTTTACTTGGTAACTCATGAGATTAGTGGAGTATTTCACATTGTAATGAATTGAACTTACAATTAGCTTCTCCTTTATTAATCAAGTGTTAGTGTCTCTACTTGCTAAGATGGTTGTAATCTGTGCTAAATTTTTAACTTTTATGGAAATTTGCTGTTTATTCCAGCTATGGAAGCTGATAAGTGGGCATTAAGAAAGCCAGGCCAAGGGTTCGCTTGGGGCCAGCAATGGTCTCCGGGTGCCGGTCCCGCCCAGGGTGTAGGCTCGGGGCGTGACAGGTGGATTGTGGACAACTACTGGGATAGTTCGTAATGGCAAGATATATTGCTTCATCGAAGAGATTTTGTAGGTGATGAAAATTCTCTTTTTGGTTATCTCCTGTAGTTGAAGAGTTAAATACTACTGACTTTGAGTACATGCATAATTTGAGAATAAGCCATGAGAAAATAAGAACTGGGTTATTTTCAACATATCTGGTCAGAAGTCAAATTTTTGATCTGTTTGGCCAAGAAAAAATGAAAATACTTTGTCTTGCTAGGTACGATACCCTTGTTAATGCATTCATTATATTAAGGTGCCTACTAAAAGTCTCGTCTTCTTTGCCTTCAGTGCTAACGTACGTGTTACAATGGTGAAATTTACTCTTTGCCAGAGCCCCAGAAACACTTTTATCCCTTGGCTGTCGGACTGCTCTATCATTTTTAGCTCCTTTGCATCAGACTGTTCACAACTTTATCAACTTTCCATCCACTTTGTCAACTTCTAAATCTTATATTGTTTGTGAAGTTCCAATTGATTGGTGTTTACATGGTGAAATTTTTTACAGTGGGACGTTAGTTGTGTGAGACACATTTGAATTTTTTACTCTCTTAAAGTATTTTGTTTCAACTTCTTTCCACGAAAGGCGTCTTTATGTAGGGTATAGTTATGCAGGTATCTAGTGAAATAATCAGGATACATGCAAACTGATTAGTCGTCAACATCATTAGGAAATAAACGGGTCATAGATGTGTAGGGCCAAAACCAGATAGATTGGTGTACAACTATAATCCACATATGAATCTAAGATGAGACCTCTAATTTAACCAAGTCCATGATCATTAATTGGTGACGGCTACTAACATGGGTTGTGGTGAAGTGGTGGAATTGTTCCACCCTTAATCCCGAGTCCTAAGTATGGAGAAAATCTTGTTGAGAGTATCACTCGGATCCTGCAGTGTGCTATCCGAATTTAGTCAGGGATTCAATGCAGACTTCAGACACCGGATGGAAAAAATAAATTGGTGATGGCCATGGTATGAAAAGGGAATCAACATAGTTGTAGTCTTCATTAGCTGCACAAACATGAATTGACAGGTAACTTTTTTTTCCAAACAATTTGAAAGTGAAGTTTGTATTGTAGTTATTTTTTCTTTCTTTCTGGTGTATTGTAGTTCTTGAATTTGAGTAAATATCAATGTTTAAAATTATAATGACATTATTTTTTTATGAATCCACCTTGAGATTTCAAGTTCAAACTTCATGCGCTAATTTTTTATTTTTCGAACCCCCTTTGTAAAAATCTTGAATCCGCTGTAATAGCTGAGTATTGGTGGAATACCTTCACTTGCAATTTTAGTATATACACGGTCCTTAAAACTATGTAATTTGTTAGTTAACCATATTTATTACTACGTGTCATTCGCTTTTTAAGTCGCATTGATTCTATAATTTAAAAAGGGAAAGGTCAAATATATCCCTATATTATTGGAAATAGTTTAAATATATCCTATGTTATACTTTCGGTTCAATTATACCCCTCCCGTTATACTTTGGTACAAATATACCCCTAATTTTAACGGAAGGACACTTGTCAACTTATGAATCAAACAACTTGACAACTTTCTAAGTACTACCAAAAAATAATATTAAAGAGATATCAAGATTAAGACACTTAACAAAAAATATTATAATAAAAATGGTTAAAACAAATTACTCACCTACCACACTACCACCCACCACACTATCACTTATATGAATCCCTCAACTACTAGTTTTGACTTATTTATTTTAACTTATTTTAACAACTTTTTAACTTTAACTAGTTTAGTTTAGACTTAATTCCAACAACAAAATTCACCAACTAAGCCACATTATTTATTTTAACTTATTTAAACA